ATTTTTCTAATGACATCGAACACATTTTCATATGATAATTAAGAGAGAAAAGCGGTAAGTGCAAAAGATAAATGAAAGAGGGCGAAACAAGTAACGAAATTGTGAAACATCCGAGATAACCTTTTTAATTTTGTACTATATGTTGTATATCTCTGTTTATATTGAAAGGAGTATCGAGCCGTAGAATGCGTAGGGGTGAGATAACGTAGTGAATGGGTAACAAAGAGAGGGAAGCTGGAAACTGTTGCTTTCTCCTGCTTTTAACGAGTACAAGATTTGTTATTTGCAAAAAACATCGTTTTTCTTCTGTTTTCTTCTTCTTCTTCTTCTTCTTCTTCCTTTTCTTTTTATTCAGTGCGTCCTCATTATTTCTGAACCATTTCTCATTTCTTGTGACTCCTTGTGGCTCTTATAACGTTCAAGAAATTCCAACAAAAGAATTCACGTTGCATAGGTATACGTGTTACGTATATGTATACGTAAATAATGTAAAGTGAATGCATGAATACATGTATATGTGTGTACATGTAAAAATTCGTCAGGGAATGTATCTTGTTTTACATTTAGTTTTTTTCTTTTCTAGATTTAGGTATTTTTCACCGGAAACATTACGCGCACTTGCAAATACATTTCGGAAAGATTGGGCATTCGCTTGTGAAGCGAATACATTTTTCGTTCTCAACCGCGCGTTGAACAGTTTATTTTTATTTTATTATGACGTTGAACTTTCATGTACATACCGATTGATTTCTCAAAAAACCACTATCCAAAGATTGTATCATAAATTGCACGGCGAGTGTGTAACATAATTTTTTACAAAGTATGACTTTCGGTCGTTAGATTACAATAAAAACGCGATATAAAATTGTATAAAAAATTTATTGTATCAATAGTAACGCCAACAATGAACACATGTATTCCCTGTAATAGCGTGTTAAAAATTTTAATTAATAGAAACTCAAACGTATGCGCGATCCATTCTATCTACGCACGCATTTATTTGACCATTGATTGAGATTCGTTCCATTTGACAAAATCCTATCAAGTTTTCTGCCGATTTTTCTTCTTTTCCATTATCTACTATTATCTACTATTATCTACACACACATACACACACAACACACACGAGTGCGCGCGTCTCTGTACACGCACACGTGCCTATAAACACATTAATGAATTGGCAGAAACCACAAGCAAGAACGGTTAAGAAATGTTTGTCATCATCAAGGTGATACCACAATTCTACAATAATATCAAATAATTGAGAATTTATGTTGATGAAATATGGATCGTGTTTTGTGATTTATTTGTACATAGACGTAAATACTGTGAATAAAGTAAAGCATTTGTAGTACTAAGTATTTCTTCTCGCGTTTCTAGGTCCAGATTTAATGATGGCAAAATCATTGTTAACCTATGTTGAAAGATCACAGTAATGCCACTGATTTAATCAATACATTATCATATTTCCTAGTAATCGTTTAATCGTTTAATCGTTTAACCGTCGATTACCCATAGGACGTTTATACCGGATGTACCTAAATTAACACGACCCAACATGCCGTGATCTCTTGTCTTAATGATATATAAAAACAACAGTAACGTGTGAAACAAGTTGTTCCTACCCTGAAAACGAGATGAAAGAATGAAAGAAATTGAATAATAAAAGAGACGCGTTACGGTATCGCGGAAACGAATAGAATACAAGCTCGGTGAAGCATATTTACCCGCTGCATTTCTTCGTAATCGTTTGGCAAGGAGTCGCCATTGTGTGCAAAACTATAATGAGGTGGATTTATGGATTGACACACTATTATGGGACCTTTGCTACGTGGTAAAGTCATTCCTGATCTAGCCATGTATCTCGAGGTGAAGGGTCGTGCATCGGGTTGATCTAATGGAGCTTCTAATTGCGTGTCCATATACGTCGATACCAAATGCATGATTATCTGCACATGCAACGAAGCTGGATGTTAAACAAATGATTACAATACCAGTGCATTTACACGAAATCAAGTAAATTACCGCAGAATCAGTTGGCAGACTAGAATCCCATTCTTTGCCATTATGGAAACCTCCGCCGTTCCATTTGAATTCGCTCATAGAACCCCCTTTCGCGAGGACTTTGATCCTATTAATCAAATATTCCTGATTGTTGGAAAGCTCCAGAAATGGTACTAAAGTTGGTAACGTAGGAATCGCGGTGACTAAAAATGGTGCTTGAGCAAGTTTTCGTAATCTATCCAGACCCACGTGTCCTGGTTGAGAATCGCTCAATCCATGGCGAACTAGAGCGGAGCAAACGTTATCGATCTCCATAGCCACTCGTTCGACTACTGTTTTACTGATCCACTAAAGTATAGAAAAAAACAACTGGTTAACAATTAGTACAGATACAATTATCGAAACGTTCGTTTAACATTCAATTGTTTTCACTTACCATTCGGAGATTAGCCGTCCACTCGTTTACTTTGTTCGGATCGATTCTATATTTTCTCCAAACGTCTAATACACCTAGCATACCTCTGGGCGAGTGTCCTTCTTCGGTACCAGGACTGGTAGATTTCGATTTATCTAGAAAATCAGAATGCGTGTTAAAGATATAACCGACTAGAAAATCTTGCTAATGTTTTAGCTGATTGTAGAAAAACTTTAATAAATAGTAATACCGATGATCGGCGCTAATTGGTACACGCATCTTCTTAACAAAGGTGAAACTTCTCCTGGACTTTTAATCGCAGGATGAGACCAGAAGGAACTAAGCAAGTTAGAAGGTTGATCGATATCGGTGGACAGAACGTGTTTCCTCTGTCGAGTTTCTTCCAAATAATTTTCTAGTTCTTTTTCGCTTTGAATCAAATCCTCGCCAGTTCCATTCATCGAAGCATTAAGGGATTTATTAAATGAACCGTTAGGGCTGGACGTCGACTTCTGAGAGGTTGGACTATTATATTTAAAAAATGGACTTGTCGATGTAAAATTCTCTAGAAAAAGAATGATTACCATATAATACGCGTACCCTATCAGGAAGTTAACGCACAAACAAAACGATAACGGAACGTTATATACTGGTTTCGTTTAATCCTGGAGAACCTAGAGACGTGAGACGTCTGTTTAGACTGATGCAAGACAAATTCAAAGGAAACGCTGGCTCCGATGTTTTCTGAGGTGACGGAATTTCATTTTTGAAAATGGGATCATCGTCGGATATTCCTAACAAGCGTCTTTGTCTAGGATAAAGAATAACTGGTCTTAAAGTGAAAGTTGCCCAAGCGTATCGTGCGATATGGTAAACAGCATTCAATGCAAATATAGAGGCCAAACACCACTCGACCCAGCAAAACGGTTTATAAGCGGCACCTCCATATAATCTGCAAATCAACGTGACAAGTAATAAATTGTTCGTTTGTTCATTTGAAATACTCGAATTCCTTACATGTCGAACACGATGATTCCAAGAAGGGAACTATTGACGAAGAACCATGTGATACTGTTCCTGGCTCTATTCTGTGCCTGTCTGATATCGAGTGTTTGTTCAACTTGAGGTTTAGCGGTTAAAACCCTACGAACACAATAACGTAACTATACGAAAGTCACTTGAGAATCGAACTAACCTTAGTTTCATTTATCTTTTAATCATTTCATTATCTCACCTTGCATTAGGAGAAATACATCGCATCGGAGAACGAAAATTGCTCATTGTTTACTGGTGTATTTTACAAATTACTTGCCGAAAGAACTTTACCGTCTGTTTAATACAACAGAAACGTGGTATCCTCCGACGCGTCTGCGCCAATTACCCACGTAAAACGAATTTCTTCAATTTGCGCGCCTTTACCTTCAGTTGCAGCTTATGGGAATTTTCGTCTAGGGTTCCAGGGGTCGCGAGACCCTCGTACCATTTCGGTGTCGCGCTCGATATTACCGATAATACAAGATTTTAGGTTTCCTAGTAGGAATCGAATTAGCTAGATACTTGGTTTCTGCTGCGAATGTTTCGCACAACTATACTTGTGTAACGTAGCGTAAATTTGACATGTATAACAAAATAGAATTCTGGATGAAATGGCGAGAAATAGATAGTACTAAAGAAAATAACAGATTTTATATAATTTTTATACATCAAGATGCAGATTCGGTTAATTTAACGAGAAGCTTATTCTTCGGCACGTTTTCACCTCTTGAACACAAAACATTCTCAACTGTTCCATTTATGGACGCTTTGACGGTGTGCTGTAAAGAAGCAAAGTTAGTGTTCAATTAAACATTAAATTGTATTGTCAACAATGATTTTATGAAGTTTGTAAGAAACGCACTTCCATCTTCATAGCAGTAATAACGAGTAGGGAATCCCCGGTTTTAACAAAATCTCCTTTCGCAACAAACACTTTTTCTACGAAACCTGGCATAGGACTTAGCGCCTTGTATGGATCCACCTCGAAATCGTTGCTCGCAACGTTGGAAAGGAATTTCATAGTTGGTATACTGAATTGCCACTCTCGCTCCTTACAAAAAAAGCAGAAGAAAATGAAAATTAACATCAAAGAATATTTAAGCAGTATTTCCGAAGATTTATAAAGAATACTAACCTTGGTAAATAAATATAACTTGTTTTGAATTTTTTTTACCGATGTCCTGGTGATTTTACCGTCGATTTCAGTGCATAATTCTAACGAGTTCTTTTTTCTTTTCAACGTGCCTGTTACCTTCGTCCAAGGACCAATTTTATTTAACCTCATAGAATAAACTTCAGGCTCGACGTATTTTACTTCGATATCGATATCATTATCGTGAACATTAAAACGGTAGGTTCGCGTTAGGGTATGGTTTAACCTTGATCCAGTTTCTGTAGCAAAAGGACTGAAAGGGTCGTTAGTTGTGAGCGAATGTTGTAACGAGAATAGGTCTTCGTGTAATATCGAAGCGAGAACAGCCTGCAACGTTACCGCCTTTGGAACGCATAATTTTGGAAACAATTCTTCGAAATGTTCTTTTATGAATCCTGTGTATACCTGACCCCGCTGGAAACTAGGATGAGAACATAAATCCTTTATGAATTCTATGTTAGTGTCTAGCCCGGCTATCTGAAAATCATGTATCGAAATGAAACTTGGAATATTCAACTGTTATTGTGCCATATATACTTACATTATATTCGCTTAGTTGCGACCTCAGTACGGCTAACGCTTCTGCTCTATCGTTTCCCCAAACGATCAGTTTCGCGATCATCGGATCGTAATGTACCGAAACCTGATCGTTTTCACGGACTCCGGTATCAACCCTAATTGCTTTCGTCAGATCGTTTGGTGTCTTCAGGTACAACAGCTGCCCAGCTCCTGGCAGGAAACCATTCCTTGGACTCTGACAAAGAATAGAGAAAAATAACAGCTCGTTTCATTTCGTTTACTCCGGTTTTACAGAGTTTCACCTTTACAACAGCCGACAGGATGACCGAAACGCAAATTCATCGAATCGCTTACCTCGGCGTAAATTCTTGCCTCGAATGCATGTCCGGTAAGTAGGATTTGTTCCTGTTTCAATGGAAGTTCTTCTCCTGCTGCAACTCGTAATTGCCATTCAACTAAATCCAAGCCGGTAATTGCTTCGGTAATTGGATGTTCCACTTGAAGACGAGTATTCATCTCCATGAAATGAAAACTATCTCCGGTACGATCCATTATAAATTCCACGGTACCTGCGCCAACGTACCCTACCGCTTTGGCGGCTTTAACTGCTGTCATACCTAAATTCGATCTTACGTCCGCCGAGATTTCAGGCTACGATACATCGTGTACACGTCAGACTTGTTTAAATTTTAACTTATCCGAAATGTTAACGTACCGCGGGAGCTTCCTCGATAATCTTTTGATGTCTCCTTTGAACAGAACAATCCCTTTCGAACATGTGAACAACATTTCCGTGTTTATCTCCAAAAACTTGCACCTCGACGTGTCTCGATTCAGGAATATAACGTTCGAGCAAAACCGCTGCATCGCCGAATGCTTTCTCGGATTCGGTTCTCGCGGCTTCCAAGGCTTCGATAAACTTCGATTCCTCGAAAACGATTCTCATTCCCTTTCCGCCTCCACCGCGTACAGCTTTAATCATTAACGGAAAACCTATCGCTTTTGCTTTCAGCTGTAACGTTTCATTAGACTGGTCGTCTCCATGATATCCTGCAATAATTATTCATGAACGTCTAACGCAATGTGTACTGTCGATGAAATATGTATTTTTGAGTTATCGTTATTTCGGGCGAAAGAAAAATACCTCCGTAAATTTTACCTCCGATACCCTAAAGGCACGAAGAAGATATTGAAAAGAATAATCTTTAAGATATACTTTGTTCTTGGTATTTTTCTCGTGCTGCTAAACAACCTTATCTTTGAGCACCTTTTTTGCTGCCAAAAGCAAAAGAGGTATGAAATTGATAACATAGATGAAACACATTGTATTATTCTGCAACAAGATTTTTATACCAGCTATAACAGGAACTCCAGCTTCCATCATTATAGCCTTTGACGTATTCTTCATTCCCATATTTCTAATAGCACTTGCAGATGGTCCAATAAACGTAATGTTTTCTTTCTCGCAAAGTTCTGCAAATTCTGCATTTTCTGAAAGGAATCCGTAACCAGGGTGTATTGCCTGACATTTTGACTTTTTTGCTACACTCATAATCTTATCTTGCCGCAGATAACTCTGACTAGAAGGTGCTGGACCAATGCAATGGGCTTCGTCTGCTTGTTCTACGTGCATGGAATTTTTGTCCGCCTCGCTATACACGGCCACAGTTTGAATTCCCAGCCTCTTGGCAGTTCTTGCAACTCTGCATGCTATTTCACCTCTGTTCGCAATTAGAATCTATGATCGATATAAAAATTGTATTTGGTAATCGGTGAGTTGTTTAGGGGGAAAGTCATTCCGTTACTGAATATTAAGCTTTACCTTATCGAATCTATTTGTTGAAATTCTTAGGACCTGCATGTTCCGTGTATTTGCAATTAACTTACTGTAATCAAAGATAAAAGCATAAATATTATGTGCGGTTCGGTAACGATGAGTTGCGACAATTTTTAATAATTTACTTACTGCGAAGCAGGAGCAATTACTTTTTCAAATAGAAGCATGTTCTAATTCTGTAACAAGTTCAGTTCAGTAATGATCAATATCGTTCAATTTTGTCTTGTTTATTCCTTAGTGTGTTCACGTCAAATAACGAAAAAGATAAATACACATAAACAGAGCGATCTTCCATTTTTATCGAGAGGTTAAATGGATACACCGCTTGCTAAGAGATAAGATAATTTATAAACATGCAAGTACCCTACTTAGGTACTTTACATAGTCTTAGACATTGCTACATCTTTAACATACTACGATCGTACATTCTGTCTATTTATGGGATTTCGTAACATCGTTGTGTAAACTTTAATCTTTTTTAACTGAAAAAGAAAAAAAAATTTGGCCCATGGGGGGATCGAACCCGCGACCTTCGCGTTATTAGCACGACGCTCTAACCAACTGAGCTAATAGGCCTTCTCTATAGAAGAGAAAGGAATTAGAAATAAGAATCAAAATTCAAATTACAATGGACAACTACTCGATAAATTTACTAAGTCATCTTCCGTTTTGTGCTGTATATTTACAACTGAACATGTTACATAATTGTAATATGGCTAATAAATTTCTTGTATAAATAGATAAATATAATGTAAAATAGAATGTATGAAAACAAATACATCTTTCTTTTCATAGAATATAATTTAACATTATTAATTTAAGGAAATACCAAAACAGTAAATAAGATAAAAAACAAAGAAAGGTTAACATGTATACGCGTTTGAGAGTCTTTATTATGTGGTACAAAAAGATTTTACTCTTCTTTGTATAGATCTTGTACTGGAGAGGATATTAGATTTAACAGGATGCAGTCTGCTTCCAATATTGTTAAGTCTGTAGTTGACCCCAAAAATCTTGTAGACAATTCTAAATCCTTTATTCTTAGATTAACCATAGAACCTCTGACGTATTTACTGAAAATCAAGATTTGTCGATCAAGATACGTTGCAACTAAAATTACTTTGTTGCTTACCTAGAGTTCTTTTTAGGCTTTGGACATACACAATGAAATTTCCATCCAAAGTCAATGTATAAATCGTCTCCAACAACATTAAATATCTTTCCAACCACAACTTTTCCTTGGGGATCTCCAAGCTAAAATATAAGTGGTTCAATCAACTGATATTAGACTAGATTTAATATTACAGAATATACAAGATTTACGTCTATAAACTTGGAACGTCGAATCAAAGAGGTAAACGAACGAGACTTGACATTTTTCAAAGCATTATCTTCACTTAAAGCTGCGAATTTTTCGTAGGATGCCGCAAATCCACTTAGCTTAGGTTTAGTAATATCGGTATCTTGTTCTTTCATACTTGTTAATTCGTCGTTTGAATTTTTACTTGTACTACAATTTCGCACAAGTATCGAACTTGCACGAAGTTTCTGAATAAAGTGTAACTGTCTTATTATTTTTCTGTAACACTGTATCTTGTCCATGATTCTACACGTTGTGTACATATAGAATAGGTTATGTTCAATCAGTAGGTCTTCTTAAAAGCCAGTTTCTTTGAAACTTTCAGTTAAGACATTGGGAAAAAATATCTTCCGCGGTTTCAAGGTAATTTCGAATATTGAAGATTTCTGAATATCTAAGAAAAATTCTTGATTTTTGTTTAATGAACTGTATATTGGTTGTTATCTGCAATTTATGTACGTATATAACCTACTCGATATCGACGGTACAACGGCGCATTATGTTCGGTATCATAATAATTTGTACGTAACATGTGAAAAATATATTGAATATTGACGTTTTCAGAAAATTACGCAATGGTTATTAGCGGACTGTTGGTTAAACCGTTGTCCAGAAATATTTGTACATCAACAGTTTCTAATCAAATAATAAAATTAACAAGATTAAGAGTCGTGGATAATAGTGCAATAGGAAAACAAGCTATGTTGGAAGGAAAACCGCCACGTTGTATCCACGTATATAATAAAGTAGGAGTTGGATATATCGGTGAGTATCCAAACGATAGATTCCATCATTTATCGTGCATTAATTCCCTTAAATGGTACAGGAGATAAAGTGTTGGTTGCGATACGAGGTGAGAAGAAAAAAGGTATACTGGTTGGATTAAAACAGCGTCAAAATCCAAAGGTTCCAAAATTTGACAGCAATAATATAGTACTGATAGATGATAATGGAACACCTTTAGGTACTAGAATTCATGTTCCAATTCCGCACATTTTGCGAACAATTTTAAAAGAGAAGACTTACAGTAAAGGAGCAGATTATACAAAATTATTAGCTATTGCAACAAAATTTATTTAATTAATTTGTACATGTAGAAGAAGCAATTTTTATGTTATTTAACCATTAAAAGATTTCCTGATGTACGCGCTATTGTATCTTCATCCCCTGTTATTTCCTGTACAAAACGTTACCGTTGAAGATTGAATCAACAATCAGATTGTTGGCTATGGTCTGGCTTAGGTAATAGTTAATATTTATTTTTATAAGAAATAATAATTAAAAAGGCAGGTTTCGCCTGTTATTCGATTCCCGCCAAACGGTGTCACAGTATCTTCAATTATGGCGGCATTTCAGACGATTACGTCATCGAGTCTTAGCACGTGCTCAACTCGAGTACTTTGAGTAGTTACTCCCCTCGTGTCAGTAACTCGAAAATAGTGTTCCCCAACTAGCTCTACTTTAGTAAGTAAGTATTTCCTCGAGACACCATGTACACGTGTATTTGCTTAAGGAATTTTCCGTGTTCAATAGAAATAGGTAAACGTTGATATGGAGTGGGTAGGTTTTCACGAGGGGAATGTCACTATAAGTGACTAGTACCTCCACGTATGTATAGCCGGCCATCCCTTACGAAAGGTATCATTTTATTTTTGTTCATTAAGGTACTTGATAAACAAAAGTATTAGGATAATACGAATGTATCGTCAGTTTCGATAGAAAGTGACATTTGAAAAATGTTGACGTTGAAAATTCGAATGTTCTCTCTGTAACATCATGATTCTCTGCCGTTGCGCGTTGTATATTCACCCAGAGAAGTCTGTTTCGATAGAAATATCATGTGGTCTAGGTGGCGCTAGTTGTCTCTTACAAATGGCGACTCCGGGAGAAGCACGCCGACCGATTTAACTACAGGGATCTTCCGCTGAGGAAGTGTATGGATATAGATAATTTGTGTTAAAGTGCAGAGGTACACGTTTAGTACAAGACTTTCAGTGGTTTACCATTTGCATCTGGAAAGAGAAAATTAGTAGAATCGTTAATCATAAAATTGAGCGGAAATGGGAAACGTATTAGCCGCTACTGCTACAGCACCTCCACCGCCACTGCCACCGCCGCCGGCACCTCCAGGTCTAAGTATACCGCCAAATGTAGGAAAACAAGATCCATCCGTAGGACTGTATTCGTCCACGGAAGGCCTGGATCGCATAGAAAATCCTGGCACAATCGAAGATCTTCACAAGAAATGCAAAGGTATCTTCGAAGTTTAGTGTATTAATTCGATCCGAATGAATGTAAGTAGAATCGAATGTAGTTTGATCGATATACGTTAATGTTACGATAGATGTGTTTCCTGTAAATTTCGAAGGAGCAAAATTGATGGTTAGTAAGGGTCTTAGTAATCATTTTCAAATATCTCATACGATAAATATGAGTTCCTGTACTCCGTCGGGATACAGGTAAGTCTCTGCTTATTTGAACTTTAGTTGGGTTTAATCGGACAGACAATAGAAAGTTTGTTTGTTGTAATTTAGGTTTGGAGCAACATACGTGGGTACCAAACAACCAGTACCGACAGAAGCTTATCCCGTATTATTAGGTGACATTGATCCGAGCGGAAATCTGAATGCTAACGTGATTCATCAGTTTGGACAAAGATTAAGGGGAAAGTTGGCGACTCAGATACAGAGGAATAAATTTACCGCCGTGCAAATGACAACGGATTATCGTGGGGATGCTTATACGGTCTCCCTGACTCTAGGCAATCCAGACGTACTGGACGGTTCTGGTAAGAGTACGAGCTAAAGAAAAAACATCGATAGGAAATATTAGAACAAAGTAGAGTCGGGGCTAAGTTATCGTAAAAGTTATTGCTTCCAGGTGTGTTTGTGATGCATTACCTTCGAAGCATAACACCATCTGTCGCGCTTGGCGGTGAACTTGCTTATCAGCGAGGACCCGGTATACCAGGAGGTCAGGTTACCGTTGTTTCGGTCGCTGGAAGATACACGAACGGAGATTCCACGATCAGTGGTGGTCTGGGTGTGTTTTAAATTTGGGTGTTTCGATACCGTTGAACGTGTCGCATTTTACTTGGCTTTATCGTTGAAAGAAGTCGCGTGGTAACATTTCCATTTTTTCGGTAGGATTGACCGCTTGTCACTTGTGTTTCCATCAGAAAGCTAGTCAACAGTTGCAAGTTGGCGTAGAATTAGAAATTAATAACAGATTACAGGAATCCACTGGAACTATTGCTTATCAAGTCGATTTACCCAAGGCCGATTTAGTGTTCAGAGGTATGATGCTCGTTTCGAATGTTACCCTTATAAGATACCCTGAAGTTCAACGGTGAAGTACACTCGTTAAAGGGATGAAACTGATATTTGTTTTTCTCGTAGGAAGCGTCGACACTAATTGGACGGTAGGTGCTGTCTTGGAAAAGAAATTACAACCATTACCATTTTCATTCGCTCTAAGCGGTATGATGAATCATAGTAAACAACAGTTTAGACTGGGCTGTGGACTGATAATTGGTTAAGGATAGTATGGTAGTTTGATATCGATTGCGTATGTGATTTAGCCGAACAATTGAACAAGAGAAACCATAAGTGTATTTCGATGTCTGTGCGGACTCCTCTTACGAAATTGTAGCTAGCGTCGATAATACCCATTCTTTCCGATTCTCCTTGTTGATTACCTCATTCGTTCACCATCGTGTTTATATTTGTTTTGTTGATTTATTTCTTATCGAAGAAACACTGGATCACCAGGGTTCTATGGTTTTGCTGCGCGTACTCGTTTATTCCATAGCATGCAGTCTTGGTTGGCTTTTTCGCGTATGGATGAGAAAGAATAGCATGGAACTGTACAGTGATATGGTTGTTACGGTTTACCATCAAGAATGATATCGAGCATCGAGAGGCGCATTCGTTCCGAATCAATCGAAAAGCAATCGAAAAGCAATCGAAAAGCAATCGAAGCGGAAACTCGTGTGTACGCGTGTGCCACGCGTACCCGAACAGAGGAAAGAGTCGATCGAGGAACATTTGATTGAGAAACTAATCATGGCGGAATCGAAGGAGCGCGATCAAGGAGAATGCAAATAAAGTTGACGTTAAGAAATTCATTTCAATGAAGAAATTTTCATTCGTTTCCCACTTGTCCCTAATCTTTCGCGGCTGTGAATTATTCTTTTCTCGGGCAACAGTTGCCACTGGATCTAGGAAATGCTGCGATATAACTTGATAACGAAGGGAAGAAGAAGCTTCGAGCATCGGTCGATACATACGATTCGAGGAATAAGGGTGCACGTCGATACGACTTTTCACCGGTTATTTAATCATCCATCTTTCTATAGAGGATATATTTATACGTTGCACGTAGTTGCGGGACAAGTTGTTTTCACCTTGAATGGACTAGCGATGCGACATGACGTCGATAATTAACCGAAAGCGATAACGACAATTTGCTCGTTTGCTTTCGAAGCGAAATCATTCGATAGATTCTTTTCATTGATCAGGATGCGACGATAGTTTCTCGTAATTAACTAAAACGGTGTTTATAGTAAACGAAAGGAAACGAGACGGTCAAGTCGCGGTAAAAGCTGAGATTGCGATGTATCGCAGATACACGGGCATATGGCGACCCTGTTGTTCCGTCACTGCGCACTACTCGGCATTTCAAAGAGATACGTGTACGAGGCATTTAACAATGAAAAGGCTGGCTTTTCCACAAACTGGTTGCTTCCCGTTCAAGCGATGCGTATTCTCTGCCTTCCATGCGCTAATAACGCGGAAAACACAGAACAATTTGCGTATAGAATGCCAGTGAAACGCGTGGTGAGTTGGACGAATAAATGCGTACGCGACAGCGTCGACGTCGGTTCGATAGGTCGATCCGATTTGTTCGGGACGAGTAAAAGACGAAGAAACCGAGTGTCGAATATCGATTTACTTTCAGCAACTCGCGTCCCTTAACCAACCGAGATGATCACAGGCTGCCAAACGCTTCGCGACAACGTTTTATCACGGATTTCTCAAATATTCCGATCTTCGATCGTCCCATCGTTCAATTATTGACCATTCGTTACTGTGCATTGCTGTGGAACACGCGAAAATGCGGATCGCGTGAATCATCCAAGATACGATCGGTAAGAATCGACGGAGATTTATCTCGTGTATAACGATTAGCTTGCAACATTATAAATACCCTTTGTTTGCGCTTTCCTCATCATCGTCGTTCTTTGTCTACAAAAGTGTCTGCAGTATTTGCCTAGTCGCAGGTAATTTGTTTACGTTGAACGCGAAGCACGGAAAAAGAAATGCTCGTGAGTCATTTCGAGAATTTGAACAGGAACGCAGCATGGCCGGACATGCGCCATATTTGTTCGATTCTTCTTTCCGTTGGCTTTCATGATTTTTTCACGGAATCGGTACAGATGAACCAACGCGACGATCTATGTCGACGCAATCGAATCGTCGCTGGCGATAACCATTCTATTAGCATTCGCAGTACTCGCACTACACTGTCGGTGAATACTGGATCATCGAGTTCCCTCATCCGATCAACAGGTTGGAGATATCTTGAACGAGCTGAACGTTAACCCTTATCTTAACGGCTTCCGGCAAATATATTTGCGTCTATTTTTTAATTTCGAAGCAAATTTCTCTCTCTCTCTCTCTCTCTCTCTCTCTCTCTCTCTCTCTCTTATTTTCTCT